CTCATCTCAGCAAATAAATGCTATTAAATTTGAAGGTATCCATTAGAATAATAAAAACACTATTTATCCATTTCAATCCTGAGAAGCTGAGATTGTACTGTTTGAGGAGGAGGAGAGAATCCTGTGCCATTAAAATAACATTTGAAAATCAGTGTTCCAATACAATAAACAAGGATGAAAACTAGCTTTAAAACAAGGATGAAAACTAGCTTTAAAGTTCTCAGGAAGCTAAGAACCCTCAAATAAAAAGATTTTACTACAGGAGCCTAAAGGAAAAGAAGAGGCTTTCATTAACATGCAAGGTACTACAACTGAAGAGGCAGTCAAAGTCTGCAGTCTTTTGGGCCCCCTGGAGTTTATATCTGTTTGCCTACTTTGGTTTCTTTCGTTTTTGTCTGATTTCTTACAGGTGACAGCACAAGACATACCTCAAATAATTCACAGAGCAAGACTGAGGTACCATGCCAAGATATAACAAGCAACACTCCTTATCTGAGGTCTCAAACTATAACTCTCTAGCCCTTCTTTTAGAAGACAGGAAAAATAACCATGATAGGACAATCTGTCTTGGAGGTTTGAAGAACTAATTACATAGACACACACTCTCCCAGGGACAGGTCAAGTAGGCAGTGAAGACACAGCCTGGTGACTTTTAAACTCAACATTCTAGTCCTGATCCCTAGGAGTTAACTCATCAGAGACCAATGCTGAGGAAGTGAGGGTACTTGGGCTGGACGGGGATTAAAACACTGCAGTTACAGGATCTCTCACCCTTCTCAAGGCCAGAACAAGCAAACACAGAAATCCCTGGTTCCATATCTCCCTAAAAGGTTCAGGAAAAAACACTGGTAACCTGAAGTTCACCGAAGAACATACTCACTGGAAGATGCTCACTTGGTAGCTCTGTGAGTTACATGTCTCACTATAAATTTGTTAGTTTGCCCTGTGCTTATCTTTTAAAGTAAGTTATTGCCTCTAAGAAGAGGCAAGAGGAAACACCTGGGTGAAGTATTCTAAAAACAGAATTCTGGTCACTGCTCTAGACTATACTTATTTGTGGCCTTGCACTGGTTATTTCACAGACCTGGGCCTCTTATTGCTTGTTTGTTGAAAGGAAGGTGAAAGGTTAGCTCAAGTCACCTCTAAGACTGCTGGTTCTAACACTCTTCTATTCATTCCTTGCATCAGAAAATCCACTTCATTCCTCTAGAATGCAACACTGGCAGGTGTCGTCAACTCAAAGTGTGTTTAAGAACTCAACGGGACAGACCACTGCTAGCTGAACTGTACGAGCAGTAGTGGCTTCTCGTGATGAATGCCTAGGGACAAGAAACTGACTGAAGCACAAAGCTAGTCAGGACCCCAAAGGGAGGCTGAAAAACAACATCATAAACAGAATGTAGGCTAGAGAGATTACTGTATCTGCTTCTTAACATGTTTCTTAATGTACTTCCCCAAACCTCATTCTTTCAAAATAGTGACACTCATTTACTAACACTGACACAGTCTAAAAATTAGATGCTCTAGGCAAGGATTTAGGAAAGAGGCGCTTACTTTCCTAACTAAACAGCTTTGTACTGAAATACAGATATTTTAATTCATCACTAAGTAAGATTTTTAAAAAGCTAAAAGTTTTTGTATATCCCAGACAATTACTGCTAGTGCACTTACAAAATCAGAATACAGCTGGGCATGGAAGTTCATATCTATAATCCCAGCTACTCAGAAGGTAGAGGCAGGAAGATCTCAAGTTCAAGGCCAGCCCAGGCAAAAGTTAGTAAGACCCTAACTCAAAACAAAATACAAACAAAGAAGCTGGAGGGGTGTGGCTCAAACGATAGAGGGCTGGCTTAGTAAGTGTGAGGTTTTATACTCAACCAACAGTACCTCAAAATAAAAGAAATTAAAATTAAAAATCCAAAAATCTGCCCCAATTGCTCTCTAGGTGTTGGATAATTAGAAAGAGACCACAGAATTCTCACTTGTCACTAAAATGTGTACTGAAAAACTACATAATATAGCTGATGCTAAGCTCAATAGGACAGGATCTGAATTTGCATACATTCTCTCAAGATCTTCTTAAGGTGGAAGCTAAGTGAGTCAGACCCTTCTGTAAACCATTTTAACCCACATGTTAGTGGGCCAAATCAAGACAGGTTATAGAAGGGTGGACAACATTCATATTTACCCACTCAACTTTTTAATTTATACTTTATCGTTACATTTATCTTATAAACATGCCCATTATCACTGATGTGATCAACTTGGGGAAGAATTTCAGATTATACTGTCTAAGAACCAATTTCAAAGTTTTTATAGCCAGGTGTGGTGGTGCACAGCTATAATCCCAGCAGTCGGGAGGTTGAGACAGGAGGCTGGCCAGTTAGAGGCCAGTCTGGACTACACAGTAAAACCTTGTCTCAAGACAAACAAGCAAAGTTTTTATACAACATGTTCAGTGGAAATCAAGTGTCAGAGAGATAGCCCCCAAATAGATTCTATAATCAAATAAGGCTGGGAAACAATAAAGCGGATTATCCAATAGTTTTTGTTTGAGCAGGATTGTCTACAGTTCTTAACAGGCTAGTGATCTACAGAGAAAATATTAAATAGAGAACTATGGAACCCAGCATATCTCAAACTTGTCTCTCAACAGAACATTTATTTAAAGGAATAATTATGACTATCTCACGAAGCTTAGAACACATCTTTTGAAAGCCAGGTATGGTGGTGCACAGCTGTAATCTCAGCACTCTCAGGAGGCTAAGGCAGGAGGACAGCCAGTGAGAGGCCAGCCTGTGCTATGAAGCAAGACCCTGTCTCAAAACCAAGGAAAAAAAGAGAACATCCTTCAACTTTGATGTCTACTGTGGAATTTCTGGGGTACCCTACTTGCTTCTGGATGTTAATGGAACACTCCATTGCCCTTCTTCTTCCAATGAGAAGACAACGAGGCAGGGCTGGGGAGTGATGTAAATGGACATGTACTGATGCAGTTTTTCAGTATGTATGTATCTTGGATGGTCCATGTGTTTCTACTGCCACTGTTCACAGTTCCCTGTTCACAGTGATGGCAAAGAAGCAAAAGGTGTAAAGATGCAAAACTCAAATTTATCCTATTAGGCCACATAACAGTTATTATGAAAGGTTTATGGAGGGCTGGTGGAGTGGCTCAAGCAGTAAAAGCACCTGTCTAGCAAGCATGAGGCCTTGAGTTCAAACCCTAGTTCTGCCAAAAAAAAAGTTTATGTTAGAAGAATAAGATAATTCATATCTGGTCAGGGATAAGAGTCAAAAATTTCAGATGTTTCTTATGAAAATTGCCTAATACAAAAAGTATATGATTTGTTCAATATTTTCGTTTATCACTCCCAGTATCATAACAAAGAAATGTCATTTTATGTACTGCTTAAGCATCTTTCTTTGTAATGGCAGAGGTAACCATTAAACAATCAAACAAGAGCCATAATTTGTGTCACAGCCTTCATGTTATTTATCACTTTACCATTTATGTCAAGGAGGGTACGAAATCCTCATTAAAGGATACTGTTTTGCTAAAAAAATAAACAAGGATAAATCCAGTATTAAGTTCAGACATAAGATGCCTTTGTTCTTCACTTTTCAAAATCTTTTTTTTTTTTTACAAATTTCACATACTCAGCTCAACCTCATTTTGGAAAAGAAACCAGAAAATGTCATTGATCTGATTATCAGTGTAAAACAACAGAGGAACCTTCCTAACAATATGGTGAACACTGAAGCGGCATAATTAAAGCATAATTATTTAGTGTGGACTAGAGACAGTTAAATTCTTACTTGATTTCAATGAATACATTCCCTATGAAGAACTTCAATCTGCAACTTGAAGAAACAAGCCACTGAGGCCATGCCCAGGTGCAGGCTCCATGAACTCACTTGGATGGTTTGGAGAAAATGACCCTAAAGGTCTTCATTACAAAACGGCTAAAAGTATCATCTCAGGAAAGCCCAAACTGACCTCACAAATAACCCAGTGTGACCCTTCTCTGCCCTTAACCTCATTTTTCTAAGGGAAATCTGGAACTAAGCTAACTTGTCACAAACTAATTAAAGAATTTGGACTTCTGGACTCGTCCTTCACTCTGACCTTAAGAATACTTTACTCATTTCAAACATTTAGTTTGTTACATTTGATTATAAGCCATGTAAATCAATTGGATATGCCCCATCACGTAAATTCAATAATAACATGAAACACCCATGGAGTCTTACACTCATATCAAAAGAAATGTTTATGAATTGACAATGTGAGTATTGCCAATTACCTTATCGCATATATTATAAACATGAGGACCATACTGATTTAAAGAACATTTTAACAAGTGTTTTTATTTCTCTCTTCCAAACACAACATTCTACTCATTGCTCATTGTTGAAATGCACAATAATATAAGCAAAGAAGAAACAAACATAAAGGTTAACATGACAGCTGTGCACATACACACACTTTTAAAAATTTTCCACAGACATCTTTCTTAGAATACATTGAAGTCCAGTTAAACTATATACTGTCCCCTGGAAAAATGGTAAAGGAGGGTGGATATGGTGCAAATACAATGCTTGCATGTATGCAAATGGAAAAATGGTATCTGCTGAAACTATTCCAGAAATGGGGGGTGGGGGTTTGAAGGAGAATAGTGGAGGGGGTGAATCCAAGTATGGTATATTTGATATATTGTAAGAACTTTTGTAACTGCTACAAGGTACCCCCACCCAGCACAACGATAAATATATACATATATATGTGTGTGTGTGTACACACATACTGCCCCTAAAATATTTTGTTTTAAAAGAAAAACTTAAATATCTTAAAGCTAAGTTTCATATTGCTTATATAACTAATAAAAGAAAATCGAGATGTAAAAGTATACCACTGAATGATTTACAAATAGTAAACACAATTTTCTAATATCCAAAACCATGATCCTTTAAATGTGACTTGTCTACAAAAAACTGCATACCTGTTATTTTGTCTCTTACAAGCTTACAGGACTCTATCTCACCAATGCTCCCAAAAAGACTCTTTAGCTCCTCCTGTGTCATATTCTGAGGAAGGTAGTTGACTATTAGGTTGGTCTTGCTGTCCTCTGTGTTCCCAGAGTCAACTGGTGATGAGCAGTTGTTATTTATGGTGGTTGGACCATTGGCTGTGTTATTGCAAGTTGGCCCATTAGACAGTTGTGTTTCCATGGCAGCAATTACCTGCTAAAAACAGAGAAAATAAGAAATGTCAGAATTCATATTTCACAACCTATTAGAGATTCCATCCAAGAGTTTAAACACTTGTCACAAAACACAAGTCATTCTGCTGAAATTACAATAAAGCTTCAACAAAAAGTGCAACACCTACGCTGATTTTACTTCAAATTAAGCTATTCAACTTAAGACTACAATTATACTTTCACATACATGCACATGAGCACAATTTAAATCTCAAACGTTTTCTAGAATCACATTTAGATCTACTAACCCTCACTCACCTGAAGTGTCCACAGAGCAGGAAATTTAGTCTCAAAGGGCACAGAATTGAGCCCTCATTAAAAATCATACTAGAAAATAAAAGTACGTAACATGCTACCAAAACAAACTGAAAAATGACCTACTGACTCTGAAGATGATTTTCAGTTAGCCTAAGAGGTTCACTATTTTAAAACTGACAGACATCCATTAACTTAAAATCAAGGAGCAAGAGTACTTTAAAAAATATAAATTTGTCAACATGTACTGTTTTGGTTACAGATTGAAAATGTTTTTCATTAACAATATCTTATACCTTGACCATTGGAAAGAAATAAAAAAAAATAGATATTATATGTTAGGGAGTGAAAAGGGTTTGTAAGATAACTTGGGAATGAAGCTATTGGTAATTTTTCTACCACACAGACTCTAAATAGCCTTTCTTGTCAGTCTCGGCAGCTAAGGTTCACCAACAAGGGAATTAATCTACAATCCCCAAACAATTCCATTGATTTTAAGAAGGAAGAAGAAAAAAAAAATCTCCAGTCCACCAAAACAACACTGTAAACAGAGAAACTTTGCAAACAGACTAGTCCAAGGAACTTTCATATGAGCATGTAAGCCTGCTGAAAATGTAAGTAATAAGGTGTCCATAAACTCCAAATAGAGGATAAATGTAAACAGCAGAGTTGGGGAAAATGGCCTCATACTGTTCAAGCTACTTTAAAAGTCACTTCTTAAAGCAAGCTTGCATTTAGTTTCCTAAAAAAAAAAAAAAAATCCAATGCATTTTGAACAACAGAGTCACAAACCACAGCCCCAAACTTGCCAAGAGCATTTTCCAATAGCTATCTGACTTTGGAGAGCCAACACTGTTGAAGAATCCAAAAATCAAAAGCATCATTGGAAAGATTATCCTTGATATTTCATCCAATACACCTCTCAGCTACCCCAAAGAACTGCTCAAAACTGACAACTCTGAATTGATGGGATGCTAGTTTTAGGGACATTTTAACATAGAAAAGGCAAAGAATGCAAGACAAAGAAAAGCAAAGTGGAGAGGAAAGGGGTTATAAGGAAACAGAAAAAAAAAAGCTGTCTTTTAAAAAGCAAACTGTCTCAGAAAAATAAAAAGGTACTTCAGCAATTAAGAAATCTCTATTGTCAAAAGATGCTTATAAAAGAAAGCAACACAGGACAGATTGAAACTGGTCAACTGGACCAAATTCAGCCTGGTCAAAATGGACAAGAGTCAATGCTATGGGGATAAAAAACAGACTCCGCCAGAATAGCCAGGAAATAGGGATCAACCTGCAACCCTTCCATGGCTTCATTTCCTTGTCAAAGAAATGGGTGTTTATTCTCCAAGCTACTTTTCTCAGGTGGGTATTTCTCAGAGAATATTAAGGAAGTGAAGGAAAACAAACCTTTGGAAACCTGTATGAAAAAAAATCAAATAATTCAAGATATGGTTCTTACTATAATTAACAAATTTATTTGAAACTGGGAAGAGAGATTTCAGGTTTCCTAATAAAGCATCACTGTTCCAGTTTGTAGAAGGTTAGCTGAGATAACTCTTTCCATAGCAAAATTTTTGTGGAGGCTAACCTTTGCCCAGCACATACGGCAACAATTAACTACAAGACAAAAGTGACCAAGGACAACAAAAACAAATTGTTATTCTAAAGTTAGGGTATGTGTAGAACCCCAAATGTGAGATTCAGACTAAATCTCATTGGTACAGCATTTGAAATATAAAGTGTTCATTGACTGAAATTAGCAGGATTTAGCAAGGACAACAAACACCCCTCACTTAATTGCACATTTCCATGTTCAGGTGGCAAGAATAAGCTCCTAAGCCAACATTCAAGTGAACAGCTGCAGTAGGCTGTGTGCGCTGAAAATTACAGCATCTTTCAGCTATAGGACCATCTGCTCAGAATAAAATGATACTAATGTGCTATATTTTACAAATAATGCATATTCCATTGATAGGCTCAACACAACTGTTCACAGAATGCAAAGTCTTTCAACAGTTACTGGGCAAATAATTTTCAGCCAGATTTACAATTTCAACTTTTTTTTTTTTTTTGGAGCATCAGGAATTGTAAATAACTTCAAAATGTAGTAACCAAAAAAATACATAGTAACAGAATGTAAAGAATTATGGTAACTTAATATTCAGACCATACCAAAACTTTTTTTGTTTTCAAGAAAAAGCTTGTCACTCTTTTGAGTCTGCACTAAATCCTAATTTAGATTATAAAAAGTTACATACAACAGCACGGTTCTGATCTACATATACCACTACAGGTAAAATTGCAATGTGCTTTAAGTCCTAACGATGGCCATACCATAATAGGTTAAATGCAAGAATAATTACTTTGCCAAATTAAAGATTCAAGTGTTTGGTATGGCCTCAGCACTTCTGCAACATGCTAAAAAAAAGTAGCCTACAGAATTTAAGAAAAATCCCACAGACCCCGGTCCAAGGCTCTGCTGCCCACGAACCACTTCTAAGCAGAGAAGCCACATCACACAGTCTGACTGCCATGTTAGTTTGGAGTTGCCGTCTGCAATATGGACACAAAAAGTACCGTATGTTAGATGAGCAAGGTAACGCAACAAATCAGTTTGTACAAAATTTACAGTGATTGTATTGATATTCCCAACACGTCCATGCAGTGTGGCTTAATTAAATTTGAGGCAATTCCAATCTAATCTTTCCAAATTCATTTTAACATGTTTTCTTACACAAATGTAAGCATTTTTAATTAAGAGCCAGATTTTAAGACAATATGAAATAGTTAACTTAGAATCTAGCCTAAAGAACTACCTTAAACCACATCTCAAAAATTAAAAAAATAAATAAAATGAAGCAAAATACTACACGCTATCCTTACTTTTAAGGATGTGGGGAAAAGGGAAGAAATGTGAATGAAATTTTATAGTGAGAAAAGTGGTCATGCAATTCATAAGTGATTGCTTTGCATAAAAGCACTCTTTCCCCAAAATATCAGAAGGGCATTAAGAGAAGCTATATTTGCCCACACTGTTACATTATACTACAAATGATCCTTAATCCTGGGACTTAAAATTAAAAGTGAATTGAAACCCTGTGAGGTTATTCCGCCACTATAGTCAAACTAGTCCTAACAGTTTCCCTGAGAATTGCTCACATATACTGAGAGGCAGTAAACCAGCACCTTTCAATTGAAATAATTGGACCAATAAATAGGATTGTTTAGAGTAATGTGTGTATAGGATGTCAGCTTTGTCCCTGAACAAAATCAAGTGAACATTTTTTAATATGTAAATTGTAAACCCGGCACGCTTTGAAATTAGTGCTGCTATGAGGCCTCCAATGTAGTTAATGGGCCATTTACCACTTACTACAACTTGCCAGAATACTAAACAAGAGCCGTGATACTGGCAGAAAAGCCAAAGTTTACTTTTAAACATCTATGTAGAGCCCTTAAGTAGGTAACAGAATAGGAAGAAAACTTCATCTCTGAAAATGAACAACAAAGGAAAGCCAAAAATGTCTCATGTTTTTATAATTTAAAATTATCATCCTTAGAGTTAAGCCTAGCGGCAAGTGATTTACTCAGAATGCTAGCGGTGACACAAATATACATACATGTAAAACAATGGGTCCCATTTTCTGGCACCTACCAAAAGGATTAACATGTTCACAGGATGCCATGAAAATGCTTTACCCTTCCTCCCTTCTTCCACTAGAGCCAGAGAATTTTCTAGTCTCACCCTGTGTTCTTTATTTTACAGAAAAGCTGCTTAGTGCCAAACTGAACCTGTGAAAGAGGTTTTCTACCTAGGAAATATTTTGACAAGAACCCAACTGTGGCTAGACAATATGAATAGGCTAGGAGGACCAAGAGGTAAACCCAGCCTAAATTCACATCCAGAATAACCTCAAGGGTTGGTACCTGAACATCCCTGACTATATAAAATCAGACTCAAATTTAAAGCCCGGCAGTCTCTCCTATCCCACAGGAGGTGGGCACTAATGAGCTAATCCATTGATACTCCTCTTTCAGAAAGCCCCGTGATGTGAACAATCTCCTTAATGAACCAACTAGGAAGGCTGTGTATGGAAAATGATTCTCCTGCACTTTTACTTTGCCAGCACCTCAGACAGTCTCTCCGCTTGAGGCAGACACATACCTTTATGGGAAGTTATAAATAAGTTGCTCACATGGCCCTTACCTTTATGCTGGCCAACAATTCAGTTACTAAAAATGTAAAGCTACTTCCCCTTCACTTAAGGACAGGCGATTCTGCTCTACTCAATCCACCACAGACAACCGGGCTGTGCACTATTTATAGATTCCACTGGCTCTGAAACTCTTTGGAAGGAAAAAAAGACCATATTCCAGTAAAGCGGAGCCATTAAATCTAAGACTTAAAAAAATAATGTTTCAATATATGTTCACCTCTTAATTTAGACATCAATTATGCCAATTCAGACTGCTTTTCCTCTGGATACTCTTCATGTAATAACTTACGAAAAGGCACGCTAGCATACATCAATCTAGAATAACCTACAATTTCACTGGACTCTGACAGGTAACAGTAAGGTGTTACTTGGCTGAGAGCATGGATTTTACTTATAGAAGAGAAAGGTAGACTCTAACTTTTCACAGTTACAAAGTTTACTTCCAAAAGGCCATACAGAGTTTATAGGCTGAATTTTAAATTTTTATATTAATAGCCCTTCATGTACTTCAATATCTAGTTTCTTATAATAGTGGAATTGTGAGACCAATGCTATTACTTTATTTCTCATATCTGGGACCAATAAGAATTTGAGGAGCCCAACTGCCCCAAAAGTTTCCTGATCAGTAAGAAAACATGAAAAGTCTCTATTTTCCAGTCTTCCTGACTTAAAAAGAAAAAATTCTAAAAACTAAGGTAATCAGGTTCTTGGCTTTTTTCAAACTTTTTGCAGGCAGCCTCCAAACAAGACTAACTGCTAATCAAAACATCTGAAATATATTCCAAGAATTCTCATTAAATTCACCTGATACAATGTCTATGTGGAGACAGAAAGTTTCCACAACCTACAATCTCCCTAATGAGGGGACAAGAACTCTGTGGGTTAAAGTCATAGCAGGTTGCTGAGTTCCCAGTGAAGCTGGTCCAGTATGCCCCCCTCAGTTGCTATGGTTACTGTCCAGCTCTGAGCTGAGCTGTCAGGCTGGGGGTGGAGTTCAGTGGCACAGCACTTGCCTAACATGTGCAAGATCCTAGGTTTTGATTTCTAGCACCATTTAAAAAAAAAAAAAAAGTAAAGCTGATCTGAGCTCTAACCTTCCTCTGATCCAAAAATTAGCCTCCCAAAATGTCCCTCCTCATCCTAATTTACACTACGCTATCCCTAGGAAGATTTTCCTAAACCCTCAACAGTACCCTACTGCCTGTCAAAATTAAGTGCAAGCTACTCAGCTTGCACTTAAACACTTGAGATCCTCTACTACTTTTACCAATCTGATCATTTCAGTACCTGAAAATCTGACCCCCTCCATGTCCTTCAAACAGTCCAGTGCCTTACTCTCTCTGTCTTTGATCATAAAGTTCTATCTGCTGGCAAGGCCCCCACCCAAACCCACCCCACCCCCATGCCAAGAGGTTGCATAATGCTAAGGACAAGAACAGTTTCAAAAATTAGAGAAGGAAAGGGCACATCACTCTGTAAATGCAAGCAAACTTGGGAGTTTGTTTTTCTACCTAACCTCATAATCACCAGAGATATTTTCAAATTTTGGCACACTCCACCAGCCACCCTCAACCAGTGAAATCCAAATTTCTACTATAAGGTATGACAAAGGAAAGTATATCTCAAGTGATCAGTTGGGTATTTTTATCTCAAGACCTTACACCAACTTTTCATAAAAAAGGTGGGAGTCAAGAGAAATCCCAAAGCACAGCATAATCTGTCCAAGCCTCTGGCCAGTAGGGTCATGGACATATGGCATATGGGATTTGGGCATGACTTTAGGACAATGACAAAAGCAAATGGTAAATGAAAAAAAAAAAAAAAAAAAAACAAAACAGATTTTTACACCAAGGTGTTTAGAAACCATTATGCTTAAGTTATGAGCTCACATGGTATTAATTTGATACTGTCTAGGAATTGAGGCAAACATAAATGATACTATACTGTCTCTAAAAAGAATCATGGCTAGAGCAAGGACAGCATCTGTATTAGACTAAAAAGTCTAATTTGAATAAAATGATCTTGGGCTCCACACTTATCTGCAGTTAGAAACGCCACAAGTACTACATCACTGGGGCAGTGTGCACCTTCCCTCTGACAACCTCTAAAGGCCAAGTTACAGTATGAAGAGAAGACATTCATCTCTTAAGTTTAAGAGCTAAACCTTCACAAAAACAACAGCAACAACAACAAAAAAAAAAAAACACAGCCTTCGCCAAAAAACATCTTCCTCTGGGGAACTCGAGGTAGGAGACTATAGCACATGAATAAGCAGTGAAATGCTTAAGAAAAACTTAAGGATGAGAGCTGGGTAAGTGGCCAACACATAGGGCACCTGTTTGAGACACCATTCCTACAGCAAATGCTTTCTCTTTCCCATTTGAATCACTAAAATGGCATCTTCATGATACATTCCTTGCTTTTCTGAATTAAGCAGAGGCTAAGGTATCAGTTCTAAGAATGAGCCATTAGTATGTTTGGCTTTGTGGTTCCTAAAATAATTTTGGCTATAAGTTTCATGTGATTTCCTCAGTCCTAGAATGGTCAACTCTCCACCCCATCCCATTCCATTCTGTCTCAAGAGCTCAGTGGATTCCTCAACCTCAAATTTTTTGGCCTTGGGGCTAACAAAGGTCCAAAGAGCTTCCAGAGACAGCAAAAGGAACAGTTGTGAGTCACAAGAAGAGTGTTCTTTGGTAGCAAACACCATCTCTTGGCCCTTTATGACTCACTGCCACAGACAAAGTAGAGTCTCTGCAATGCCAGCCTTTCTGAGGGCTTGTACTTCCAGAGCTGGAAGGGTAAGGAGCTTTGAGGTTAGTGGGTTAAGATAATGAGTTTAAAGTCCCAAGTCCTTCTCTTTATGCTAGGTCCATTCCAGGTCTCTTTATTCTAGGTTCCATGCCATGTTAGGCATGCAACTCCCATGAGGTAAAGACAGTGTTAGGTGCTTGACGTACAGCAATGAAGGGACCTGAAGTAAACAGCTACAATGGGAGATGTGTACAGCAGACCAAGAGTGAACACATATAGCTACATAAGTGTGATTTGGAATAAATGAAAATGTAGAACAGAATACGGGGATTGACAGTGTAGACAAGGGGGACAGGTACTTTCAGGTATCAGATAGTACTTACTGAATGAGAGGGTAAGCTTTGAGTTGAGGTTTCAAAGACAGATGTATGAGTTGGTTGCTGTAGTTGATGGAATAAAGCCCCACCCCATGTCCAAGATTATCAGTGTGTCATATTATATGGCAAGGAGGCAATTAAGGTTGCTGAAAGAATTAAGGTTGTTAATCAGCTCATCTTGAAAAAGATTATCCTGGAT